TAAAGCCTGTAAGTCTTACTTACAGCTTCAGTTGGATTAACTGTTATACTAACTAACATACTTCCCACAAACTATAGACTAACCAACTATTTCAAACTGTTTATTCCTTTTTACTATAAACAACACATTTACAACAATGTAAGTCGCAACTTGACTCAGACTTGAACCCCAGTGACTCGCAACTCAACTCAAACTCGAGCCCCAGGGACTCGGACTTGAACCCCAGTTACTCACAAATTGAATCCCAGTGACTAACAACTCGACCTGGACTCGAACCCAAGTAGTTCACAACTCAACTCAGACTCAAACCCCAATGACTCGCAACTTGACTCGGACTCAGACCCCAGTGACTTGCAACTCAGCTGAGACTTGAACGCTGGTGATTCACAACTCAACTTAGACTCAAACCCCAGTGGCTGGCAACTCGACTTGGACTCAAATCCCAGTGACTCCCAAACAACTCAGATTCAAACCCCAGACTCAAATTGAATCCTAGAGACTGACAACTCTATTTGGATTCAAAACCCAGTGACTCACAACTTGACTCGGACTCGAACCTCAGTGACTCAAAACACAACTCCGATTCTAAACACAGTGAATCAAAACTCGACTCTGACTCAAACACAAATTACTCGCAACTCAACTTAGACTCAAACCCAATTGACTCTCAACTCATACTTGAATCTCTGTGACTCCGAACTTAACTCAAACTCGAGCCCCAGTGACTCCCAAATGACTCAGACTTGAACCCCAGTTACTCACAAATTGAATCCCAGTGACTAACAACTCGACTCAGACTCAAACCCCAGTAGTTCATAACTCAACGTGGACTCGAACCCCAGTGACTCACAACATGAATCCCAAAGACTCACAACTCAACTCAGACTCAAACCCCAATGACATGCAACTCGACTCGGACTCAGATCCCAGTGACTCCCAATCAATTCAGACTCAAACCCAAGTCTCAAATTGAATCCTAGAGACTGACAACTCTATTCGGATTCGAACCCCAGGGACTCACAACTTGACTCGGACTCGAACCTCAGTGACTCAAAACACAACTCGGATTTTAACCCCAGTGACTCAAAACACAACTCGGATGTTAACACAAATGATTTGCAACTCCTTTTCATCCTCAGGTTACCAAAGTTCGTTTTTTTTTTTTGTGGGTCGAGGGCCAAGAAGACAAAACAAAGTACAAAGATAGAAAAAGAAGGTATTTCAAATTGATTTATACACATATACATATAGTATTCACAACATTACACCACATTTTATTGCGAAAAGTCATGAAAAACACAATTTTACAAGAAAAATGAGAATTTGATAAGTGACATATATTATAAAAGTGTTTATTTTCTCATTGGGTGAGAAGTTGGGTTTATGGGAACTTCCTGGCAGGCCAAATCAAATGTCCACACCTTGGCCCTCAGGGCTCACTATGGACAGCCCCACTCTAGGCAAACATTGCAGCCCTGTGTAAATGATTTAGGTATTTTGTCTGTGTGCTACAGTTTCCCATTAGGCTTAACGGGATACTCGTCAGCATTCCGCAAAACTTAGCCAAAGAACACATTTGTAGGTGGAGCAAGGCTGGGTCAGTTACAGTGTATTCACTTCAAAGATGTGCCCTTTTTCATTTGGTGCTTGGATGTTTATCTCACATAGTGCCTTTATGTACCACCACAATGCTTTAAAAACATCAACACTTCCCAGTGTTTGTGAGGTTGGTGGAAGTGGACAGCTCAGGACTGCAGGCCTACCCAGTGTGTTTGTTTGTCCAACAGACTCAACTAACCCTCTGAATTCTCAGACTGTGTGCTGACGTCTCGCACTGCTGCCAGGATCTTCGTGTTCACAACAGCGTCCCAGCAGCAGTCGATATTGATATTGTTGATATTGGCGCACCATTCAGCCTGTTCACCTGCTTTGATATCAGCGGTATGAAAACGTGGTAGATATCAATAGTATGAATATCAGTCCAGTGTGTGAACTGCATAAAGCAACTGCATGTTGTCAATACTGATGTCTCACACTGCTGGCAGGAGTTTTTACAATAACGTCCCTCAAAGCCAGTATTGCGAAAGTTAGATCAGTGTGTAAACATCACCCCATTACATTATGCTTTAGAAGCAATAGCATGTTGTCAATACGCTCGCCTACATGGGGGTCGGCCGATGTTTTGTGTATTGTCCTCAGCCGGTCACGTACGTACTGTGACACTGACACTGTGGGTGTGTCTCCCTGATGATGCGTAACAGGAAACTTGCGAAAGCTTCCATTCGATCATGAGTAGGTTTAGAATGCATGCTTTTGTGCTGACACATTAACTGATCCCCTCAATAGCATTACATTCTATGCACCTGTTGATGCAAACATTGCCTTTATGTTACAATAGGTGAGGATCATCTTTGAGTGTCTGAAAAGCAGTGGAAATTAACAGTGCTTTCCCACAAACCATGGTGCTTTCCCGACATCGAGGAAATCGCGCAAACCATGGCGGACACCACAATGTTTTCTGTAATAACACAGCAAATTAATTTGAGGTTGGTGTTGAGCTGTGTACCGCACACCATTATGGGATATTTTTAAAAAAAGTTTTTAAAAAACATTTTAAGCGTTTTCATTCTGATGATTCAGGTTTTGGTGTTTTACTGACTTTTACACTTTTACACTGCTTTTTTCAACAGGGGAACACTGAGATGTTGATAGAAATGTTGTTGTTTAATGATATTGCCTGATACAAGTTTTGGTCATGTTTGTGCAAATTATAAGCAAATTTAAAATGTCTGTTAAATGTTCATTTGCATTTGAAAACATATTTGAGATATTCTGAGCAAAATGCATATGCAGTGCAAAGTGTAACAATAAACATTTTTTTGTAGTTAATATTTAAATAGGGCGTCAAATTAAAAGATTAAAAGTAATTTTTTCATATATAAATTTACTGTAAATTACTTTATTACTGTGGATAATTAAGTATCGAATTGCTTTCACTGTTCTTATGTAAGAATACTGTATTTTAAGTATTTTTTTTCCTATAAGTATATAGTAGAATACAGCTTCACAGTAATCTTGTAGTCCAGGATATATGTGCTATTTTACTGTTTTTTACTGTCAATATGGTACTGTAAATTACTGTTATTTTACACTGAATGTCTTTTACAATGTACAGGGTGCAACCAAAATAACAGAATCTCTAAACATCATGAACTTTATGATCAGCAAGGTTGAAATGTAATGGAATCCAAGAATTCAACATACATATTCAGAATACAGAACTTAAGTGCCTGTATTCAGTCCATTTTACATTCTGAAAAGAATACAGTTTGGAATACATTGATTTAAAGCTTTAAGAACACTAATTAAAATTAAATAAAAAATACGATCTTTAAAAGAAGCACCATCAATGCTTATTTATTAACCATTTTAAAATCAGTGCATGCTTGTTAGATGGACTCTAAAGGGAATCTGAACAAACACCTTCTTTCCAAACACTGAAGCTTCTGCGAAAGCCTGAGTGGACTGATAAATCAATGTGATGAGCCAGTTATTCATCTAAGTGCTACTGAGGTCTTTGGGGGATGAAAGTACTGATAATTTAGTAGCATGATGTCATTAACTGAACATCACTTTGCTGCACTTTACAGTCACATTTGCTAACCTTTGTTTTTTGGGATTTGGCATAAAAATGTTAAAGTGAGAAACGATGCCTAACTGTGATCCAGGGTTTATCACATCATAATAATAACTATATTTCACACATTTACATTTAGAGACTTAGTACAGGTATCGGTCCTGCTGTAGCCAGTATGAAAGCAGCTGTAAACTGAAGCAGTCAATGAGAATAAAACAAAATATTTTGAGAATTTTGAAACATCATTCCAGTAATAAGCGAATTTTTCAAGCATCATATTATCATATACTATCATAACATAATTAACACATAGTAGCCTTTTTGCACCCACCAATCTAAAGTTACTGAAGAGAGGCACCAATTAAATCCCTAACATTTACCAGTACAGATACCTGGGTGGTAGTTGGTGGTGAAAATTTAAAAAGGGTGCCACAAAGTGTTCTTCAAGTGATGCCACAGAAGAACAATGTGTAAAGATTTTTTAAAGGCTGAAATGTTGACCTGTTTACATTTTCTGGAGAATATTTTTCACACTCACACATGTCAGTTACAAAAATGGTTCTCCAAAGAACCATTCACTGAAAGGTTTTAGGGAACTGGAAGTGGTTCTTCTACACTGTAATCCCACATTTTGTTTTAACTCAAATATATTAAGTCTGTTGTACATAAAATTCAGTATATCCCACATATTACTCAACAATTTTAAGTTAAGGGAACATTTTTGATGATTTTGTACACTCAAATGGCATTTTTGAGTTGAATTAACTTATTGCTATTTAGTTTAGTCTGTTGCTATGGCAACTTTGAAACCCTACATTCAAAAAATGAGACATTTCTGTTGGTTTTAATTGTTTCTTTCTCATTAAAGTTGCTGAACAAATGTGTGAAACTGAGTGAAGCTAAGAAAGCTGTGAAATACAGTTACATGTTTGTTTTTTTAACACGATCTTGTTAGATTAAACGTATATTTCTTTCCCATTGGCTCCTGGCTCCGTCTATTTGCATACTGGGCGTTTCTTTCCCTTTGTTTTACTCACCGTCAGTGTGTTTTCATTCCACCCAGGCTGCCTTTTCCTCAGGCACATGTTTTTTATATACGCTTTATTCAGCTGCCTGATATTGTGTTGCTGACTAAGAGTGAAGGTTATCGTTCTCTTTGCTGATGAGTGGGCATTGTGTTGGTCAGTGACCATGTTCACTGTAAAAGTTAACTCTTCAGTGTTTGTCAAAGTGTTCACTGTCACTTAATTAGAAAAAAACATTTAACTCTTTAAATGTGATCCCTATTAGTTCATTTGTCTTCTGTGTTCATAGTGCTTATAGAGCATTAACATACTGAAACATATAGCTTTCAAGTCTTTATTAAAATGTTGTCATGACAGGAAAAAAACGTGAAACAGAAACAAAGAAAAAGAAATCGATACTCAATAGATTTACAGTGCAAAATAATACATATGCCAGCATAGAATTATAATGCATATTTCATAAATAATCTGTCCTTCATTAAAAGCTATATTTTATACTTTTGTGTAACAGAAAAAGTGCAATACAAGCAATATCACCGCAGATTTACATTTTGCAAAAAGCTTAAATGTGTCTAAAGTAAGACCAAACCCGAAAACAAAATTGAAATAACACAAATATTTAAAAAAAAAAATACTCCACAGTAAATTGGCACACATACAGTATAAACAGTGAGTTTTGTCCAGTTAAACATTATTGAAACACTGCTGTTAAGCACCATGAGAACACTTGTGGTGATAAGGTCTGATGCCTCATTTATCCTTCCTCCAGCTGAATTAAGCAATGTTTCATCATCTTCAAGAACATTTATTTTTCTTCTGGATTCTGATCTTACAACATGCTGTTCTTCACCCGCTCAAAAATCTGTCGCACCTTTACTGCAGGAACACATCCCTCTCGCAGAATGGTGATGGTACCTGTGAACAAAACGGTACTAGTAAGTATCTGTGAAAAGTTCTAACAACAGATCTTGTTGTTGGGGTCTTCAGTTTCAGATTACCTTCATTGATCTTCAGGCAGTTGACCACTGTTGATGCCACCACTTCATTGGACTCTCCATCACACAGTACTCCTTGAATCTTGTGTCCGAGGCGACTGGGGGAAAAAAGTGTGCCTTTGTTATGCCTTGACAGCTTATCGCTTTGATGGCTACTGAACTATGGACATGTCCATACTAAGACTTAATTGAATTTTTAATACAGAAAGACAGGAAATAATGAGGGGCATTTCCATGTCACTGTATTATATAAGTGAACTCTGTTTGTTAAACAGTGATTGACCAAAATAATAATTAAGTTGGCCAGCAAAGCACCTTTTAAAGGTGAAGACCTTTGACAAATGTTTGCACAAGCCTTATTAACTGAATGGATCAGTGAGCGAGAGGTTTCAGGTTTGGCTAAGAGAGGGGTATTGTGTTTTGTTCTCATGGCTACTTGGACTGTGCATTGATAAAGAATATCTGTTAACACTTTACTTGAATGTTACCTGCATAGGGACTTAAGCATTGAAAAGCTTTTATTAATAAATGCTTGAGTGTTTATGAGCAGGTATAATGACATAAGATGACACTGCATTAACATAAAGGCCTTAAACTAAAGTGATGGACCATTGATCCATTTATAATACTAATAAGAAGCATTATAGTAATGGAACTGACATAGTCGAGAACAACCATAAGAGAACCGTATGATGTTTTAAGGGCATCAGAACTTTCCACAGAACTGATATATGATATTCTCAACTAGGCCTTTGCCTTGTAAATTCCATTGCTTGGGAATGATGCTTCATAAGAGTGTTATAAATGGAACTAATTACTTTCACTTTAGTTTTTTGGCCCCTTATGTGAATGCAATGTCATTTACTTCACAAACATTTCATATCAAAAGCACTTAAGTATGTCTTGTGAAATCATACATTTATCAGGACATCCCTATGAAGGCAGCCTTCAAATCAAGTCAAGCCCTTGCATAGATCACATTGTAATAAGCACTTATTAAGAGAGCACCAGTCACCAAAGTGCAACTTACTCAATGACCATGTCATGGTGTGTGCTGTCAGGTTCACCACTAGGGTTTGCAGATGTGATAGCCAAGGGCCCAGTGATGTCACACAGGTGTGCAGTCACCGTGTGGTCAGGGACACGGATCATTATGCTCTCCTTTGTCCCCACACGGTCATATGCAGGTCCCACGCCTTAAGGGGAAAAAAAAATTTGAAGATTACTCAAGACAAGAACATTACTCAGGGATGTATGGTGGTGTTTTACAATGGCGCTCCACTTACCAAGTTTGAAGAGCCAGTCTCCCTTCGGCACAATACAGCTGATGCCTCCTGGGTAGACATTTCTCATGAACTCCCACAGCAGGGGGCTGAATGGAGGTTTGGCTGCCACAAGCTGCTCCACGCTGGAGATACAGATACAGATGGGCTTCTCTGCAGGGCGGTCCTATGAAGCAGGAACATGGGTCAGCCAACCTAATATTCATTGTTCTCAACTTTCTAATAAGTATAGTAATGCATTACATGCACAGCATCCCTTGGAGCTCACCTTGATGTTGTAGATCTTCTCTATTGCACTTGGGTTCTTGCACGAAGCAGCCAGGGCGTAGACAGTATCCGTGGGAATACCACACACACCATTATTTTCGAGCAATTTGGCAATCTGTAGGAGCCCACTGGTCCCCCGAGAGATAACCACTGGACATGGAGTTGTAGGAGCAGCTTCCTTCTTTTTATTGTTCTTAGAAAAAGAAATTAGACAGAATAATCAAAACCTTCCAACGACAACTGAGATGTTTCATGACACATATAGTAAAGCAAGTTACCTTTATCAGTGCAGGGCCAAGTGGTAGCAGTTTCTTGGAGAAGATGCAGTTAAGAAGTGATGCCAGAGTCCCATATAAGCAAGTGATGGCAAATAACGAAAGCATAGCAACTGAAAATGAATTTTGAGAAGAACATACACTGATGTAGTTATTGTCAACTGAAAATCAATGGATTATAAAGTTGCCTTTTTCTGCTGTGCATAGGGCAAAATTTACCTTCCAGTTGGTAGGGCAGTCTGTCAAGAGTGGAGAGAAGAAAGCAAACCACTATGACCTCCATGATAGTGGTTAAAGTCAGCAGAACCAGATTGCCATAGGCAGCTGCCAATTATGAAAATAACAGGCTTTAGTTTAAATTAAATGGGTAAAAACTAGTTCTTCAAATTATATTTTAGATTAATAGCGACACTTACCAATTAGCATCAAGAAAGCATTAATCACCAGAAAAGCGACTGCTCCTGCTGTAAAGCCACCTGCTGATTCTGTGGAAATCTGCAAACGATGTCCTGTAAGTCAAAAATCCAGTATCATTGAGCAATCCAGTATTATTCATCACTGAATAGTATTTAACATAGTACATAAACCTGATGTGATTTCAAATATTGCTCTATTATATGTACATACCTGCAAACCTGAACCAGGTCCAGGTGGCCCAAATGGCCACATAGAAGGATGGGATAACAGAGCCAAACCTCTGACCACCTTGAACCTGCAGTCGGCTAACGTATCCCTGGATGATGGCCCCTGGGATGAGCACCCAAGGTACGGTCAGGTCTAGAAAGCTCTGGTGGGGCTGGTTGCTGTGGATGGCTGAGAGAGCTGCAACTCCATTGGTGAGGTAAAACAGAGCATCAGGAAGTTGGGAACCCCTTCCCTGGAGTTGTTCCTGTGGAGACGACTTCTTCAGACACCCAAGGCCACTCTGGAGTCGTTCGGTTGAGACAGGTTGGGGTCCAACAGGAATCAGAGACTTCTCAGCAATGGTGTTGATGAGACGTGCAAATGTGCCATACAGTGAAAGAGCTGTGAAGAAGGAGCAAACCACTCCAAAAAAGATGTAATACCTATCAAGAGGGATCTGTGAGACTGTGGAGATGGTTAGCAGGAAGAAGAAGGCATTGTGGACGAGCTCCAGGGTGTCCATGTTCAGGCTTGCGACACAGAGCACTAGAGCTGCTGCCAAGAAGAACCAGTCACCCACCATGGCCTGTCGTCCTGTAGCTGCTTCACTCCTTCCGATTACCACAGACACTACATACTCTTCCCAGGTCTTCACAAGCCAGAAGGTGCAGTGCAGGCCAAACTTGGTGGCATGGTAGCAATCTTGCCTCAGGTATGCATAGTAACTGGACAGGAGCTGGGCAGCAGAATTGATGGATATCCACATGGCACTTACTGGGATCGATGGGAAGTAACCAAAGGCATAGAAGGCAAAGATGAATGGTGAGACTGTGTCACAGAAGAAGCCCAAGGCCATGGGTTCAGCGTATTTGGTGTTCTTTTTCTTTTCCTGGCCTAGACTCTGGGAGCTGCTGGCATTGGTTGTCCCAAGGAGGAGCACGTTGAAGAGAGGGTTACCGAAGCCCTTGAGGACATAGCGTTGGGCCACTCCCTTGATGAGCAGTGCGGCAGAGCCATAGATGGCAAAGAGCAGGATTAGGAGCTCTAGCACTCCTGAGACCACCAGAGCCCACCCAGTTACCAGTCCCACAGCTTCAAAGACTAACGTGAGGGTGATGGCCCCAAACACAAAAGGCATAATGTAGTTCACCGTGGCCGAGCAGAACGCCAACAGCAAAGAGAGCAAGGTGTAGGGCACCAGCCCAGCTATGGCAGATTCACTGAGGTACTGAGGGATGGAGGTTTCATTGACGGGAGTTGAGTTGGAGAGAAGGTTCTCGAGTGTAATATTTATCATGGTTGAGGTATTAATGGGAGTGCTTGGATTGTGCTGGTTTGCTCCCAGGAATATTCTCGTTGCACCATAACTGCCCCAAAGAGCTGCATAGCCAATGAAAGCTGTGCCACTGAGATGGTCATATTTACGGAAGGACAACAAGCCAGCAATCATCTGGCAGACTCCACCAATCAGAATGAGATGAACACCTATACAGATCCACAAAAACATTGAAACTGCATTAAGAACATATAGATTTATAGAGACAGATACATACATACAATACTATAACTGTATTTTATATATGCACAAGGTGATATTGGTGAGGTTATCAACTTTTAGGTAACACTTATAAATGTTATGTAGGTCTAGGTCCATTGTCTTTACATTTATGACATTTGGCAGACACCCTTTTCCAGAGCAACTTACAATTTGATCATTTTACACAGGTAAGCAAAGGTAGTGTTAGGAGTCCTGCCCAAGGACTCTTATTGGTATAGTGTAGGGTGTTTACCCAGGCAGGGATTGAACCCTAGTCTACAGCATAGAAGGCAGAGGTGTTACTCACTACACTATATCAACCACCATGGTCATGAAGGGCCTATGAACACTGCCCTACAGCTACCAAAGCACTACCCATTTTAATGTAAGAAAAGAGGTAAAATTTTTATAAAACATTATCAAATATCATGAACTTAAATGTGATTTATATAAAAATACATTGTATTGATGAATTCATTACTGTGCCTTATTGTTCTGCCACAGTTTGGAGGTGGATGCACCAACACAAAATTACCTGCCAGGATGTTCTCTACCCCAACTGCCGGAATCCCAGTTCTGGCTCCCTGGAAGTTCTGCAGAAGCACTAAGAATGCACTGATGCCATTGGCCAAGAACCCAAGCACTCCAGGCTCACTGTAAAAACTTGCAGGAAAGCCGCTCGCTGATGCCATCAGGTCTGCTGACTTTAGCTGATAAGGCTGCGTAAGGTTATGTTTACACAAGGAAATGATGAAAAAATACTTTAAACACTGTGAAGTGATTGTTTAATACATTTAGTTACTTTGACTGAACACTTGAACTTGAATTGATTTATCAACTCGAGGTTATTTCCTTTAATTTACTAAGTTAAACCATTACCTAGTAGATGTTAACAAGCAAGATAAACATGTTGAGCAAATAACCATAAGGTTGATAAGGGTGTTTGGATTGGTCTGCATATTCATACATTCTTATATTCAGCTTTTGCTGAATATAGGTAGGAATGAACAAACAACACTGAGGCTTTTTCAATTATTAAACACAATAATGATCAAGTTTTACATGTATTATGATGTTGGAGAGATATTGATTATATATTAATATTGTTTATTTATTTTTCAGATAGGATTTACTTTAGTTTTAACAGCAGTTCAAAATTACATTTATAAAAACAGATCTCAGTAGTGTAAAATTTCCTCTCTGGCTCTGTCTGCCCCTCTCCGTCTCTTTCCCTCCCTCTTAGATTGCAAAGCAGGCACTTGGTCACAGCCTTTCCACAAGTATGTATCATTTCATGTCCTGCCGCCAGCGTGAGCTGACACAGGCGCTCTGTTCAGCAGCCAAACGGGTGAAACTCTCGGCAGCTCTCTGGCAAAGCTGAGCTGGTGATACTGACCCAGGAGCTCCCCATAGAGGCAGAGCACAACACTGCTTCTCTGTCTAAAATGTGACTCCTATCTCTTCTCTATGACCGTCACACAGGTTCCACAGGTTCACCCCAGTTTGGCACAAGACATTACAATGATGGATATCAACACAGACTCAAATGGGCCTTTTGGTGAGACTGTTTTGATTTTTCTTGAGTTTTAGAAGAAAAATGTTTTGAGTAGACGCTCATATGCACTGATGTCTAAGAAGCTTCATAATAACCTTAATACTTCTTTCTCTTGCTTCAGGCAAAGAAATTCAAGAAGGAACTTACCTGATGAGGATCCTTGGTCTGAAGTGTTGGATTGCAGTGGAAGGATGCTCTATGTTTATAAGAAACATGCTTCTGTGGAGTGGGAGGAGCACCAAAACTTCTGACCAACCCTATGCTCCAGCTCAATGGATGACATAAGCGACCCTTGCCTAAGACAATCAGCTTCCTGCTCAGATGATGAGAAATCCCACCCAAGATGCTAAAAAAAGCAACGTTTTGGAAGTTCCAGCCCTGCTTCCTTGTGGGGTGTATTATCAGCCTTTCAAAGTCTTGCCTATATAAAGAAGGGATGTAGACTCACCTGAGCAACAAGAGCATCACCTGTCAAGACAACATCCTTCAGTCCTGAACAGAGAGAGAGAAGACAGAACTTAGAGAACTTCGGCTCGAAGGCAGAATAAACCCCTCAACAGTACACTGACAACATGCTCTCCAAAGTACAGGTACTTAGACTTTGACTTTCTAAGTATGTGGATGGATAAAATAGCTGCTGTGTAGATTTGCCTGTAAAAATGAGTGTAATTTTACTGTACTGTACCCACAAAGTTCTGGCACTTTTCCCCATTTTGTTACTTTTCCAATATTATATGTACTTTTCTTGTTTTTTTTTATTTTTTATTTTTTTGCTTTTGCTTACAATAACTGTTCATAGCAGGACAGTTATGTCTCAAGTCTAAACTGGGTCATAAGTGATATTGCTTGCACTCTTGTTGAATGTTTGTAATGTTTATATAACACTAGGCAATGGTAGGTAATTCCTCAATGACATGTTGATGTATCTGGTAAAACCTGATTAGCTGAGCAATCATAGAGAAACAAGATGAGTCGACCTTAAGGAACGTTTCAGGCTTGAGTAAAGAAATACAGAGTCATGTTTTTATTAGATCTCATACGGTGTTGAAAGAGTAGACTACAGTAAAAGTGTACTAAAGTATGAAAACATACAAATTACATTCAAACGTTTGGGTTGCCTCCAGTCAAATGACATGTATTTTTGATTTTCTGAGTGAAAATAGATTCCTCTATGAAGGGAATACGCTGCACATTTTAAGGAAAAGTTACTGTTTATTTGCTGAAGTGGGGAAAAAAATAAAACATAATGTGTGCAAAAGTGGCACATTTTACATTTTATGTTCTAATTTTACCAACATATTAAACTTAGACTGTACATATAAGGTTGTCTGTAGTAGAGGATATTTTACATTATCTTCACTTAAAAATCAACAAGTTATGTAACATGACCAGGGGTGTTCAAAATTTTGCACACCACTGTACATGAAGACATTCAAGTAAACAACTTTGTATTATCCAGAGATCCTTCCGACCCCGGAGCACCCTGTCTGTGGTCAGAGGACTGCACAAATCAGCTCTAGATGGTAAGCCAGCTCAGTTTCTGCACACACTTTTATTTTGGTCTGGCTGGGCAAACATTTACTTCAGCTGGTCTTTCCGAGACACACTCATCACCACTTCATCGGATGCAGCAAGAACTTTAGCAGTTGTGGAATTCCATTCTCGCCTTTTTTTCCAGTGGTGCAGCGCCCCACCTCTGAGGAAACTGTGACCAGCAGCTTTGGCAGGTTCATCCAGAGCGTGCAGCCGAGGCATCTGTCACCAAAAGTGCTCCAGCGCAGCAAGCGCATGGTGCTGGACAGCATTGGTGTGGGACTGCTGGGTAGCACCACTGAAGTCTTTGATCTGGCCCTCCAGCACTGCAAGGTAAGGATGTAGTGGCAAGAGGAAACTGGAACGTATTCAGTGTCTTATTTATACAGCATTTGCACCATGTACAGTTTGTTTGCTGTGAACTGATGTTATAGGAAATTAGTCTTGTTACATTCATGTTCCTTTTACTTATCCATTGTGGAGATTATGGTATATCGATATACTACCTATTAGCAATCAAAATGTACCATTTAAACAAATTTGACCCTCCCTAACACTGCGTTTACATCAGTATTCAAGGAAATTGCACATAACTTTCCAATTCTTGTTGACTTTAATGGGATAATGCGTATAGTTCTAGAAGCAACACCTGATGTACCAGTCTGGTACATTTCCAAGCAAGCTATAAACTTCTTAATAGCTTAGAATTCATATCAAAATCTGTTTTTGAAACAGATCACAAAGACAGGCATTCACAATAGCGTTCCTTGAGTGAAGACCTGGCCTTTACAGAGTACACTTCATTCTCACATAGACTTTAATATGTCTGCTCTGCGTCTAGACCTTGTGTGGACAGAAACAGCTCTGTGCTCACTGCTTACACAAAGTCTGTTCTTGGGCTGCTGTGTCGGCCCCTGCAGTGATCCACTGACCCTTCTTTTCCTTTTTTTCCAAAGCACATGTATGCTCCTGATGACATCAGCTTTGTCTATGGCCACAGTGGCACCAAGCTGTCCCCAACCCTGGCTGCTTTTGTCAATGGAGTCGCGGTAAGATTTATTATTTTTTATAGAATTTTATAACGGAAAACAAAGACTGTCCTGTCCTCTCCAGTAGGTTTCTGTTCCCAGAAATAAACTATCTGAGAAGAGGTCAGGGTGGGTGAACCACTGAATCACAGTTTCGTTATGATACGTTTGTTTTCACTGTTACCATTCCCGAGTATTAAACAGTGGTAAACAAATGTACAAAGACATCATCGGGGTGGGGTTTGTTGTGAGAGAACTAGAAAATGTTGTTGAACTTCCTCTATGAGCCGAATAACATGGCTTCTGTATTTGACCAGCATACATTAGTCATGTTCTTCTGGATTTTCTATTTGCTATTTCAAAGCCAGACAGGCCTTAGGGCTGTTATTAGACCTCGCTCATATTTCCTGTGGTCAAGCTTTGTATTATTGTTAGACTGGGGTTGATGCTACATCTTGATCCCTGTAATGGAGCTAACATTCCTCTAAAGTATACTGAGCAGACCACTGTTGGAATAGCACTGCAATGACTAAAGCAATATTGGGTAACATTATTCAAAGGCTGCCTTCACAAGGGCTTTATAACAGAACGCTAAGTACTGAATAACATACCTATGAAGCAATACATGAGCATTGCTATGCAGGTAATTGCCTGAGTAAATAAGAAGTATTGACTTAAAGGGCCTTAAGCTAAATGAGCAAACATTTGTTCCATTTATAACACTGTTATGATGCATCATTTCCAAGTAATGGAAATCATAAGGTCTTCTTCAGGCTCATTCAATGGACTTTGATGACACCTGGCATCCTGCAACTCACCCCTCTGGAGCAGTGCTTCCTGCCCTCCTCGCAATTTGTGACATGCTTCCTAGCAACAGCAAGCCAAGTGGTGTAGATTTGCTGATGGCCTTCAACGTGGGCATTGAGATTCAGGGTCGCCTGATGAGGTTCTCCAACGAGGCCCACAACATTCCCAAGAGGTGAGAGCTGTAGTTCTGTCTTTCACCAAGACAGGGACAACCAAAAGTATAACTCGATCAAAACAGGATACCTCAATGTTTTAAATAACACTTAAATATAGTAATGTCATGACAGCAGTCCCAACAGGACCGCCCTGAGTAACAACATGGGCTTTCTCCAAGCTTACACACAGAGCTACGAGAGGTTGCGCCTACTTCATTTAGCTGCAGAGGAAGTTGCCATAAAGCCGTTCAGACGAGTGTTTTTAGCCCTACAAACCGCTTCTGTTTGTGACTGAACTCACTGCCCTTGGTGCTCTTATTTAGACTCTCAGAGTGGAATAAAATGACTTATAATTTGTTATTTCCCCAACATGTTCTTTAAACAGAATCCACCTGTGTAATTTGAATGACGCCTGGAGACACCTGTGGTTAATGATGCATGGGACTGTCAATTAGATAAAATAATACTCTCGTTAGAATCCATACACAGGGCATTGTCATCAGAGGGTGGATCCGTATGATTTTTAAAACAACTTCAGCACAAAATGACCAAAAGTTAAAATTTCTATACATTACTGAGAGTTGCATTTTAAAGGCAATTATTTAAGAAAAAGTACTTTTTTGCACCTAAAAGCATAAACTCTTCTCTGCTTCTTCTCAAGGTTTCACCCCCCTAGCGTCGTAGGCACAATGGGCAGTGCTGCCGCCTGTGCCCGCCTTCTTTCCCTGGACCGTTTACAGTGCAGTCATGCCTTGGCCATTGCTGCCTCCTTAGCAGGTGCCCCAATGGCTAATGCAGCCACTCAGTCCAAGCCCCTGCACATAGGCAACGCCTCCCGCCTGGGGCTTGAAGCTGCCCTTCTGGCCTCCCGTGGGCTTGAGGCAAGCCCCCTGGTCCTGGATGCAGTGCCAGGGGTCGCTGGCTTCAGCGCTTTCTATGAAGACTATGCCCCTCGCCCACTGGCTTATCCTGAAGAGGAGGAGCACAGCTTCCTTCTAGATGAGCAAGACATGGCCTTCAAGCGATTCCCGGCCCACCTCGGCATGCACTGGGTGGCTGACGCTGCTGCCATCATCCATAAGACCTTAGTGGGCCTCTCCACGGGAAGCTTCTCCCCAGGCATGGTGCAGGACATCCTGCTCAGGGTCCCACAGTCTAAGTATATCAACCGACCCTTCCCAGAGTCGGAGCACCAGGCGCGCCATTCCTTCCAGTTCAACGCCTGCACTGCCCTGCTGGACGGGGAAGTGACGGTCCAGTCCTTCCAGCCTGAGGCACTCTTGCGGCCTGAGCTCCACACTCTACTGTCCCGCGTCCGAGTGGAGCACCCCGACGACAACCCAGCCAACTTCGACCGCATGTATGGCGAGGTGGAGGTGACTCTGGTCAGCGGAGATGTGCTCAGAGGCCGCTGCGACACCTTCTACGGCCACTGGAGGAACCCTCTTAGCAATGAGAGCCTGCGCAAGAAGTTCCGCAACAATGCCGGTGCAGTGCTGATCCCAGAGAAGGTGGACGCACTCGTGGAGGCCGTGGAGGGGCTGGAGTACCTGACCGACTGCAAACCGCTGCTGGCCCAGCTGCAGTAAACAGCTTAGCAACACCAGCCTTTTTGTTTTTCTTTACGTTGTTCATGAACAATGACTGTACTTTCTATTGAAGGACTTTTATCATGTGCACCTCCCAGATATTTAGATGAACTGTGAGAATTTACAGTTTCCTAGTAATATAGAAGACATATGAAGAATTTATTTACTGAATGCAGTGATTACTTGTTTTATTCTTTAAAAAATTACATCTCTTTCTAGTTATTATCATAACACAACCACAAACATACAAATTGAGAGCCAGCAGCTGTGTGTTTTTACTGGAAAGGTGCAAAAAAAATGTAAATATGACTTGAATACCTTTGTATCTAACATTGGGAGCACTTTCTGTTAAATTAATATTATGAACTAATTTTATTTGTGTGTCAGCAGTGTGATCAAGGTGTCGGTAATGAAGGAGTTTTCAGTGTGTCTGTGAACATAAAAATTCATAAAATAAAGTGTTTTAAGCCAGTTCTGATTCTCTGTCGTCCAGCGATCACCAGTACTAACACTTATTAATAAAGAACACTAAACATCAGCTAGAAATGTAGATTTCATACATCTTTAAAAACAATTGTGAAACTTCATTATGATACTGATAAAACAAACATGAACTGATCAGTGCAGTCTAATTCCATTAAAAATGGCATTTCATTGGGTTTAAAAAAAAAAACAAACAAAAAACTGTAGTAATAACTAAAATATAGTATATGGACTAAGTGAATAGGAACATGTGAGAGCAAGGTACAATCTAACACCTGTTAGTTTTGCTAAATAATAATAACAGTATTTCAGCAAGTTTAACATTTTTAAAAGCAATCGACACATCTCTGCATCTCTATTACAAATGAAAATATAAACGTTGTTTTCCAGCACCTACAGTTTATGAACAATTCAGGCAAAAGCAGAGTGAATGCCAATCCTACATCATACCCCATATATGGAATGAAATGAAACAGAAAGAGGGGCTAATTGTAACAAACTAATACAAACACAAATAATTCAGTATAGATCTATACTGAACAAGCCAGATGAGCTTTCTTAACCTAAATACATAAAAATTATGTATCAAAATAAGTATGATTAGTGAAAAGAGGCTGTCAAATATATAATTGACCACAGAACATTAGCGTATGTCTCTTTTCATACATCTCTAAAAATGATATAATAAAACTGAAATGATCATTTTATTTAAATGAAAGCTATATTATATTAACTTTAACTTCAAAAACATTTTACATTTGGATTTCTCCCATTGTTTCTTTTGGGAGTCTTCATAACAGCAGGTATAAAGTCATATACAAAATTTTGGGCGCCCCCAGTTAAATTACAGATTTTGCTGATGATCTAAGAGAAAATAAGTTGTCTACATAGGAAACACTTCTTACTGTTTATGTGCTGAATTTAACATATTGAGGAAAAAAATAAAACATAAAATGTGACATATTTTATATTTTCCAAGATGTTAAACTTAGCAAATATATAGAAATTGTGCACTAACATTTGCCAAAAAATGTCACTATCACTGTTGTCAGAAGAAAACCTCGTATCTCCAAAATGGTAACTTTACAGGAGAAGGAAAAAACGTACTTTACTTTTAATGTAAGTCAATGGAACCAGACTTATTTTCAAGTCATTTTGGGCTGTTTATTTTGGTCCATTCTTCATGAAATTTTCAAACAATGTAAGGCCAACAGGCATTTTCAAATTATGTCAAAAACTGAAAAACAACAAAAATGGAGATACAAGGTTTTCTGTCCATAGCAGTGATATGTAAAATGTAATATTTATGTGTGTTCCTTATATAGTATGTGTTAACTTAGTGTCACTTAGAAAATCATGAAAACATGTGATTTGACCAGGAGTGTGCACACAATGATGGTATGTTTCAAACAGTGATATATTACTGTCATCATGAGGGTAATTAAAATAATATTGGCATGAATTTTGTGAATATGCACAACACTTATGATGAAAGAGTTACTGAATCTGGGGAAACATCTGCCTGAATGCTGTCAAAGTTCACAGATGTTGCTGCTATGGAATACAAGAAGATATATTCTACTTGGATTTGTTTAATTACATAAAATATATTAAATATGTATTTCTTAGTTTGTGCCCCGTGCTCCCCTACACAGCACATACACCGACCAACCACTTCATGAAGTCCACCTCCTTGTTTCTACGCTCATTGTCCCTTTTATCAGCTCCACTTACCATATAGGTGCACTTTGTAGTTCTACAATTATAGCAGGGACAGATCTAGGGGTGGGGCCCCAGAGAAAATCTGATTGGCCCCTTAAGACATTCGCTACCTTCAGTCACATCATTGATGAACTCGTTGCCTTTCACTGAAATTCCTAGATTTGAATAGTGAATGTGCTTCTCATGTGAGTTGTGTAGATTGAAAGAGTTTCAGGAGATGCTGGATAATATTAATCCAGCTAAAGTGGAAATTAGTGCTTTAATGGTGCTGCTAAATGAAACCTCTTCTGTGCAATAGAAGTTTCTTGAGCAGTTAGTTTCATTTTCACAAATATAAAATCTCTCTTCAATAGCTTTTGCATGGTGGGAACAAAAAGGCTGGTATGAGTAAATTATCATTATTTGCAACCAGGATTGTCAGAGACTACTTCACTTTTGTCTAAAATTGATGTAGAATATGTTGATTTCTGTGGCCTATACTCAGAATATCTGAAATTTACATTGCAAGTGGCGATTACAGGGGTCCAAGCACTTCACGCTTTATAGTGCCAGTATAGGCCTTTCAGCGGATAGAATGCAAGTGACAGAGGAGACGGGACCTTAAAGGAGATGTTTGCTAAAATTCATACATACTGACATTGGTATGGTAAACAGTAGGTTATTTTAAACATTAACATTTAACATTAAATACAGTATTTGAATACCTGAAAAAGCAGTACAGTTTTTGACATGATGTGAACTGCCATAGTTGTTGAAGCTGAATCTTTCTACAATCTTCATCTCTCAAGGGTCCTGGAGATCCACTAGCCTGTAGAGTAAGTAGAAGGGTAAGAAGAGTAAGTAAATTCAGCACAGGTAACTAGGTATGGCATTAGGACAACAAAATGAGTGATCAAGGATTTGCATCCACACTGTCCGCTGAAAAAAATACATAAATAACAACATCTACAGCTCAAATACTTTGATGTCCATATCTGTTCTTCTCAGGAATTAAGGAGCTACTGTAATATTAGTGGCTGGCATAGGCATGTCTAGCCCCTTTTTAGGGGTGCTCAAGAAGAGTCCCAGCACCCCTAAAAATAAGAGTAAAAAGTCGTTTTGTTTTTTTTTTTTTTTAAAGGAAGTTTGTCTCTGATAAGCAAATGTTATGATCCATTTTCTCTCTTCTGCTCTTGCCCTGCCCCGCTCTCCCCGGAGCCTTGCAGTAGCTGTGACTGTGTGTTGCGGTGATTCCAGTAAGTAGCTCATACTAGGATTTCTTTACTTTATCATTCAGCACCAACTCATCACAGTCATCAGCAGCAGTTCTCCTTTTTGCTGCACTGAATCACAGATCACTCTTTGTGTTGTGACTGTTTGCTATCTGATGTTTTTTTATCTAGCAAGCTAATGTTGCAGGTTGTCAATCAATGACTGTCCCCTGTTTGAATTTGAGTGAGAGACGCTAGGCCTATGTGTTGATATTGAAGCCAAGATCTGTATGTGGATCAGCTAATTATGATATAGAATGATAGAAGATATGATGAGAAAAAAATGGTTGGGGGGGGGGGTCGAGGCTGGTCTCATTGGGTGAAGCTCTGATTCTAGAACCGCCCCTGGTGGCTGATATAGAACAGGCCCATTTTTTCACTGTATGTTATAAACAGTAACTACTGCAGATGGTTAATCTACTTTAGTGATTTAGTTCAGCAGCTCCAGGAAGTACAGACAGACATCCATGGTAATGAGCTCATGGGCAGAGGGTTCATGTTTTGGAAAAGAATCACAAAAAGGGGCAAATGTTCCTTCCTGACCTAGAGATGCCAGAGGGAACGTATGTGGAGAGTCAGTATGCAACCTTAAATTGCAAGTTGGGGAGGGAGGGAGGGAGGGAGGGGTGGGGCAGGTCAACTGTGACCTCCTGCTCAGCAAGTCTGTCAGTTCAGTCAACAGAGGTGCTACTTACATATTAATAAAGCCACTTTTACGCATGCTTGTGGGTTAAAGACCACTCATCCAGCCAAAGGGAACAGGTTGTGTTACTATCATCAAACAATCAATCAACCTTTTATTTATACTCTGAGTATGTTGAAGGTGACCCTGATTTGCAATGTAGCTGAGCTAAAAACAATACCAAGTGATTGAAAAGTGGTGTTTATACATATAATAAGGCTAATATGTTATCTAATATAATTAATGCATTAACAATGTATGTGTGTATTATGTTGCATATTATATAAATATACTACAAAATTAGTTACATAGTACATTGTTTATTTTGATCGTATGCAAAATTTGAGCGCCATGGTCAGTGAAAATAAGATCCTCCATTTCTGCACATTTTAATGCACAATTACTGTTTATTTGCTGAACTTAACCTTATATTATTATATTATTATGATATTAAGACTATATTCTTATATTGTATTGATTCTATCTATTTATTTATTTGCATTATAAATAAAAATATAAAAAGGTCAATCTAAAAATTTCATGCAGGACGAACCAATAGAAATATTTCAAAATCACTTGGAATAAGATACACTAAATTGCATTTGAAGTTAATAATGTTTTTGCCATATCATGTATAGTTATCATTTTGAAGATACTTGTTTTTCTTTGGACAGCAATGATATACATGTTTTATGGATTTTATTCTGTTATCTCTGGTATTACATTTACTTTTTTGTTGCCAAGTTATGATGGATTCATACAACTTGATTCATAATACTACACAGCTTTCTTTCATTTTAGAATTACTTACAGCTCCACTGATCATGATGGACGCACATTTCATCGTGTTTATTTCTGTGTGTGAAGTTTACAGGATTCCAACCTTCTGAACAGTAATGTACATCGTCACTATCCAAAGAAGCATCTCCACAATTCCAACTTTCCAATCACCATGAAACGTTCACACAATATAAAAGCTGCTGAGCTGAAACTGTAACTGAAAACTAAAAATCACAAAAAAGTATTGTTTTTTGAACAGCGACAATGTGTTTAATACACTGACGAGTCAGCGTACACTGAAGAGAGGTACAAGGATATATTCGTTTTGAAACAATCATTAAATACATGTACGAGTAAAGAACACAATGTGATGCTTATGCTCTGCATAGTTTAATGTGTTTAATCAAAATACTCTTCTTCTCTTCAGGGCACAAATCTGACTGTAAGCACAGGAGGTTCAAAACATATCCATATTGTGTTCATTATTAATGCCTTCATAACATAAAAAAGAATTTAAAATTTAAACAAAACTGCAAACAAAAGAACACATAGTTTACATGAAAATGTGCATGAGATTAATAAATTATTCACCC